AATGGCAAGGAGTGCAATATCATCACTATGCTGATGATACCCAGTTATGTTACTCCACCCGTGGCTGAGCAGACGATGCTATTTCAATACTGACCCAGTGCCTGGAGGCTGCAAAGGTCTGGATGTGGAGAAACCAGCTCCAACTCAACCCAAGCAAGACAGAGTGGCTTTGGGTTTTGGCTCTCCTGGGAATGGTGATGTATCAATAGGAGAGCACTATCCAGACAGGTGGTGGTAGTAGTAGTAGTAGTAGTAGTAGTAGTAGTAGTAGTAATAAAGTTGGAAGGGACCTTGGAGGTCATCTAGTCCAACCCCCTGCTCAGGCAGGAAACCCTATACCATTTCAGACAAATGGCTGTCTAGCCTCTTAAAAACTTCCAGTGTTGGAGCATTCACCACTTCTGGAGGCAGGTTGTTCCACTGGTTAATTGTTCTAACTGCCAGGAAGTTTCTCCTTAGTTCTAGGTTCCTTCTCTCTTTGATTAGTTTCCATCCGTTGCTTCTTGTCCTGCCTTCAGGTGCTTTGGAAAATAGCTTGACTCCCTCTTCTTTGTGGCAGCCCGAGATATTGGAACACTGCTATCATGTCTCCCCTCGTCCTTCTCTTCATTCAAAATGCTCAGATATGAATCTTATTTGGCTTAATTTTCTACAAATGTATTCCTTTTCTCTTCCCAAAATAATATCCAAGCTGTTAAAAGGCAGTTCATTTAGTCTGACAGGTTAAGTTAAGTTAAGGCACACAATATGTGGATCCTGGAGGATCAGTGGCTGACATGGCTAAGGGCTTGTTCAAATACATCTTATGGACTTCCTGTTGGACTAGTGCAATGTGCTCTACATGGGGCTATCCCTGAAAACCAGCTGAAGTTATAACTGGTCCTGAATGTGGTGGCATACAGAGTTTTGGGCTCCTGTCAGTTTGCCCATATCATACCACTGTTGTATGAACTGCACTGACTTTCCAGTTTTGTCACCAGGTAATTAAAGGTGCTAATTATCTTCAAGACCTTACTTGTAGGACTATCTCTCTCACTCCATACTAGGTCAAGTAGTTCCCTTAAATACTGTCATCTAGTGAGACCTACAAAGTGCACCTTTCTGTAGGAGCTCTGGCCATGTGGAATACTCTTCCCCTAGAATCTAACAAGCCCCCATCCTTTCAACTTTCTTAAAACCCATAAAAGTTTCATGTGAAAACCTTATAGGTTGCAGCTGGAGTCTGGGAATTGTATCGCTTGATGGATTAGAGATCATATTTTTTATTTTAGTGTTTCTGTTTTTCATCATTGTTGTGAGCCACTTAGAATTGTGTTTCATAAAATTGTAAGTCAGATCTTTAGTTCCAGAATATAAACATGTATTTCTCCAAGTAGCAAAATCTAAGATTCCTCCATTAAAAAAGTGCCTATCAAGCAGTCTTTCTCATCTGTAGTACACGCTTGTTAACAGAATACACTATATTTAATACTATATACACTGACTATATCTTCATTAGGGTAAGTTTTCTTCTTCTGCACAAATATAACTTATATTGTAATCAATTCATTAAACTTTTGGAACCTTAATTTAGACCATACCTTCACTAATCACTGAACATAGTTCAATGCATAAACATTGGATAAGGGCAATATTTTAAAAACTTTACTTAGAATAGCTTATATAAATCACATAAAGATTTTTATTTATTTCTTCCTATTGGGAGGTTGGTTCATCCTTTATAATGTTCTAGCTTTTCCTATGTGCATACTCTCAGCTAGGAAATCAAAGTATTACTAGAACTTGTAATTTGTTCTCTTATAGAAACATTTTCTAGGGAACAGGAAGGAGGATTGTGACTGACCAAGCCCACCAGCATTCTGTGGCAGCCACTTTTCTCAGTGCTAAGGATCATTATGAATACTTTCTAGAAAGACCTATTGAAATGCACATCTAACTTCTCTTTTAGCCTCAACAAGATTAGATATTTCAGAAACAGGCTGAAATACTAGTAATAGTAAAGTCATAGTAAGCTATAGTTTAGCTATATTTTTGAATAAATAACCATTGGCTGAGTTAGTACAACACATTAAGCATAAAGCACGGCTTACAAATTACAATAATTCTGTCCAGAGAAATGCTAAGTCAGTAAACTATTATTAGGACATTTCTCTAGATGGAATTATTGTGAACCATGTTTTATGCCTAATATGTTGTACTAAGTCAGCCAGTTATGGAACAACTTTTATAACTTAGTTCTTACATTACCATTAAAATATCAATACAATGAATCAGTCCATATTTTTTGAATACAACTTTCCTATCTAATGGCTTCCAGAGACATTGAATGTCAATGCTATAATTCCTAGTCAATACAGAACTGAAATAATATGATGTAACATTTATAGACCTAATCCATAATAAAGTGCTTTGATGGTATTTACTAAACTCAATTAAAAGTTCTTAGATATCTGCCTCTTAATAAATAGTGGTTGAAAGTTTGAACATATGTTAATGTCAGTATATTTATGCATTAATTCTTTGATTTCTCTTTCAGTCTTAACCAAAGTATGAGTTTAAACCATATCAATTCCTTTGCCATTTAATAATTAATTGCTACATAATAGAAAAAATCACTACGGTACTTCCCAGTAATTTTTAAAAATTTACTTCTAGGATTAGAAGCTCTCTTTTCATTTATTCTTATATGCTTAAACATGCCTTTTCTAAGAACACACATCATTTTTTTTAATTATGCTTCCACATAATCTTGGATGCTTTTCCCAAACCACATGATAACAGTTTCCTGAAGATGCAAATCCTAAGAAAACATTAGCAATGTCAGAGGGTAAATGTAAGCATTACTATTGTGTTGAAATAAAAAGAAATGAAAGCTTTGAAAGGTAGAGCGTAAACATATTAGCTTTTTAAAACCTTTTATAGCTCCCATGAATATTTATGGTGAAAATCTTTGATAACATATTTGATAAGTATAATACAATGGGATTCCCTTCTCCCCTCTTTCGAAACTACATTGTTTAGTGGTGTTTGTCTTTTAAATGTATACATTGTCTCAAGTTGCTTTAGATCTATTTGGTGAAAGTGATTAAATGGATTTTAATGTTTTAGATATATCCACTTTTCTCCATATTATTAGAACACCTCACTGTGCTTAGTTGGAAAGCAAATTTACTGAACTCAAGGGAATCCAATCAGTTGGGACTGCAATTTTAATATAAAAAAGCAAGAACACCGCCTGGTTTATGAGAAGAGAAAAATAAAAATATTTAAAAATAAGCAGAAATCCATATTAAAGCAGTTTCTCTAGATCAGTGATTCTCAACCTTTCTAATGCCGTGACCCCATAATACAGTTCCCCATGTTGTGGTGACCCCCAAGTGGGTGTGGCCACCAATAAGAGGGAGTAGGACAGCTAGGGAAAAGGGAAAAAAATGGCAGACAGCATGGTTTGGTGACCCCCGTGAAATGGTCATTCGACCCCAAATGGGGTCCCAACCCACAGGTTGAGAACCACTGCTCTAGATAAGCTGGATCTAACACATAGTGCATAAGTCCTGTACTGCACTTAAAAAAGCCAAGTTTCACTAAGATGGGGCAAGATATAAAGGACAGAAAGGAGAATATAGGCAGGAGAATTCTCTAGGTATGGCTACCAACAAGACTGAGTTTCATATTCTTATTCTCTTTTTACTTGGCAAAAGGGAAGGGCAGTTCCTAGTGAGCAAGACAAGGCCGGTCTTTTTCTTAATTATAATTAAAATGACAAGAAAGAATGAAAACCCAGCAAGGTTTCTATTTTAAAATTATACTTGACTTGCACATCCTAGTATCTTGGATTAACTTTGGTTCTATGCTTGCTGGACAAAGCAACAACAAAACAATATATACTATTTCTAAGACAGAGCTAAAAAGGAGAGATGGAATTGTGTTGTTAACTTGTATTTGGGCCAGGCTGGAATTCATGCTACAGAAAGCTTTGCTCGACAGCCTCCTAATAAAGGAAGCTAGAAAACAGAAACAGTGCAGAAGCAGCTCAGATCCTGTCCCTGACATCCTAACTTGGAAGTATTGTTGAAGAGTTTGTTTTCTGGCATCTCAGTCCAACCTATAGACAGACAAGTCCACATTGACAACATCACTCTGCGTTTCTGAGATGTAGCAACAGGAAGGTCAAGGCCAAAACTCTTTTGTTTCCTTGCAAGGTCTACTGCAATTTGGGCAATCCCAATATGCAGTCTCTCTGCACTCATGTGGACTAGAACCTTGTCCTTTTAGCAGAAAGATACCTTCAAGTTTGTAAATACTTTGTTCAGCAGAAAACTTTAAATATAGTCCTAAAAAAATTATAGGGAGCATAATTCTAGTAAATGAAAGGCATGCTTTTTTCCCAAATGCCCAGTTATAGTATGGGTGTGCAAATTGATTACCACTCTAAAATTTGTGATGACAATGCTTTTTTTTATTAATTACATATTAATACAATAATGTCTGATAACTTAAAAAAAAGGTGACATTCTCTTACATAGAGAAAATTCACCTCAGTTTAAAGATTTTGGAGACAAATTTGGCTACCTATATGTTTCACAAAATCTTCATTCTATGTTTTCAAGAGGTCACTGAAGACCATAGTAAGTTACAAAAATCATATAACATTACTTCACTGCCATAAATGTGTGATTATTGCTATCATTTGGCATACAGTACATTAAGGTAAAGTCCAATTTTGTTCTCCAGCAGAATGAGCTAATATTACAAGAGAGGGAGTAAGGTAAAATGAGCACAAGTAATTATACCAGGCATGCACAAATGTGTGTCCTCCAGCTTTGTTGTATAACAACCGCAATCATTGCTGATAAGCAAGAATCATGGCTAGTTGAAGGATGATGAGAATGGCAGCCAGCACTTTTAGAAGGCATGACAGGCAAGTATTACGCACTCACATCTTAGTAAATAGACTGTCTTTAATAAAAATTCAAAAAATTACTTCTTTCCATGCTTACCTCTTGTTTGGAATCTTTAAATGATCTTCTTAAAGATCTGCTTCTAGATGCTAATGGTGCAGGTTCTTCTTGCTGGCCAAAGAATTCCTCAATTGTCTTTGTGTCAATTTGGTAGTCTTGCTTAGCACCAATAGTCCAGATATTGTTTTTACCACGGACTTGTTCTTCCGGGATTGTTTTCCAAAAGAAACTACGTATTCGTTTCTTCTTGCTCAGATGTCCATGTCCATTTAACAGTTGTGATACTGAAGATCTGCTTAGATTGGGGGGAGGAGGGGGTGGTGGTGGCGGCACTCCTGCTGAGGAAGGCAATCCAGCTTCTATGGAAAAGCATGGTGGAGGAAGAGGTGGGGGTGGGGGTGGTCGCTCTTCTGGTTCACTGGTATCGCCAATCATTAATCCAGCTTCAGCTGAAATTGCTCCATTTTCTTTATCATTGACCAAGGAGACACAATTCATAACATGCATTTTACAATCTCTCCCCTTGGAGAGACGGACTTAGTTCTGTGGATGTGCATATAATGTTTAGCAGCTGAACAATAGTGTACAACTTGCTCATCCAAGTTTTGGTTTAACATCAGTCAATGGCATTCAAGAAGCCCGTGTTCGCCCCTGAAATCTGTAATGACATATAACAGAAAAACAAGAAGACTAGATCAATTTTTTTGCAAATGTGGGAAAGAGTATGGCTGAAGCACCAATTTGTAGACTATGTTCAAATTTTTCCACCAATTCAGACATACCAATTACTAACTCCATTTTATAACTCTTGCAATGCAACCTGAGTAAAGCTTTGCAAACAACACACTCAGAACTCATTGTTTATAGTCATGCCCAAAGTATTTAAAACTACCTACCTACCTGTAAATCTAATTTAATGGGAACCTAAGAATAACTATAAGGGCTGATCCACACCTCCAGTGTGAGGACAGGATACTTGCCATTTTGCTAAGGCAGGAATGGATGGTGTCATCCTTAGCCCACCCAAATCATCTCAGAAAGCGCTCCCCAACTGAGGATTCTTATTTTGCATCAAAAATAGTGGTTTCTTTTCTTCTGCTAATGAAACAGCCAGTCTCTTGTTGCACTCATTTCATCTTACACAACTCCACTCCAGGTGGCTGGTGTGTGTTCTGGCAGGCAGTTCCACTAGTCCCCACTCTATGACTTCAATGACCTTTTGTCTTGGACTGCTTGGCTGCCTGCCATGAAGGAATGGGTCTTTATTTTGTTTTTATATTTTATTCCATATTCAATAGTGGAGCAGTGAAATGCTGGCTATTTTTGCTTGTTTTTAACAGGTTCAGCAGAAGGATGAAAAACCGAAATCAGCAAGAATTTTGTTGTTTCTCCTTGAAGACCAAGGGGACAGAGAGAACAGTAAATTGTTAATGCTTTTTTCCCCTAACAGATCTCCAAATACGTGCCTGCAGAAGAGAGAGAAATTGGCGCATATTTTGCCAATATGGGAAGGAAGAAAGAAGCAGGGTTAACTATGATCAGACAGAACATCAGGCCAATACTGTGAACAAAGTTAAGGAAGTGGGTTGAAATTCAGAAAAGGATTTCTTAAGTCAGCATTATTTATGCATGGGAGGTAAGTGAAGGCTGCAGTGTGGAAAGGAATTAAATGGAACCAACATAAAACATTTGTGGTGCCAAGGCTTCTGCCCAAATCAATCACACCAATATTTAAAATCTTATTTAAGCTGCATCACAAGGTTTGGTATCATGATCTGACTGCTTTAGATTAAACTGTTATTATCATTAATTCAGTAAGCATTAGACTACATAGCAACACATGCTTTACTTACTATCTTGTGCTATTTTTAATTTCTACCCTTCAATTCAATTTTATGCAGTGTATGCACCAGGAGTCAAAAAGTATTTAATAACATTTTCAATTTATTTATTGAATTTATATAGCCTCCCCCCATCTGACTTGCATGTGACTCTGAGTAGCATACAAAATTAAAATTCACTCAACCGCTTCTCAAAAGTTTGCTATAGGAACTTAGTGACAAAAGAAAATAATGGCTACCTTGGTACATCTTGTTAAACTATATTATAAATAATTTTCACTTATTGCGAATCTATATTCTTTCACTTGAATGGCTGAACAATCCTTCATAGTTCCAATCATTGTTTATTCAGTGTTATATGTGAAACAGGAACCCTGCTTATTCCTCTCTTAACAAGATTGAGACATAAACCTTTTTAAAAAGTAGCTGTTTGAAGAGATACAACACATAATTCTTACTTCTGTTTGCTTTGTACCAAACAACTCATACAATCAAACCATTTTTTTTTATAATTTTGGCTTACTTTGACATTTGTGCCAAGCTTTTCTGAACTATATTTATTGGGAGACAATTCTGCATGTACACCACCAATGTATACCACCAATATATTCTCTACATTAATAAATTAATCCACTATCTGTTCTTTGGTATGAATCTTTTATATCTTGTATCAGAATAGAAAAACTAAATATGAGCAATCTAGATTAAAATCAGTTTACTATATTGGGATGACTCAATATGTTTATTATTAATAGGCAGGCTATGTAAACCTAATATATTGATTTTAATCACAACCATTTAATTATTTTATTTGTTAACTTTTTATGCTAACCATCTTCCCCATAAGGTGACTCTGGATGACTTAATTAACCAACCATGATTAATATAATGCCTTTATTAATATAAACTGCAACCAATTTGATTCATATATCACTTTAAATCAAACCAAATGAACCATATCATGGTTTATTGTGTTGTATACATTCAGTCATTGTATACTTTTTCAGACTGATAATTAATTGGATGGAATACAAAAATTATCTTTAAGCATTTCTTCTGTGCGGATGTGCAGTACCATAAATTGTAGTTACTAAAATTAATATACACTTTTATGAATTAGAAACTTTTGTGGAACTTGAAAATAAAATATCATAGTTGAACCCATTTTTAGATTACTGATAAATACCTCAAAATCAATTTAGTTTTACATCAAAAGTCTTAGGGCATTTGATTAATCTACTCATCTATTACACACAATTTGAAAATATAAATTAAATTTGTTTACCAAATATGTTAAAACATCATTTTTGGGGGGGGGTTGCAGTACAGATGGATACTTTAAGTTAGACTCCTTGGGTTGGTATTGTAACAAGCATAAACAATTAAATGGAAAGGAGAAGATGCATAACTATGCTAATATGCAAAGCTAAGTATTTACATAGGCAAACCAGTATGTCAAGATTATCTCATACTGGAATGATGGGTACTTTAAAAGCTAGAAGAGCCACTGTATAATTCCATTTTTATTATCCAGTAAATAAATACAACATAGACAGCAACTATTTTAGATATCACTTTTTGAAATACAGTTTCCAAATCTAAGTTAAAAAGCACAAACACATCTAAGTGAACAGATGTTCTTTTAAAAGTGCTTACAGCAAAACCTAGTTGGATTCAAATGATTAATAAAAAAGTCTTAACTGGCAGATCTAAATTACAGGATTGTTTCTAAACAATATAACAAAACATAAAAATCACAAAATTTTAAAATAGTACACAGAAAATTATTTAGGAAAAAATATGTAAGGTGTCAGCATGTTTGAAATATATTTAAAAAACAAGAGATCATTTCTGCTCTCAGTATATGAAGCCTAATGGTAAAATATCAAATTATATTTGGGGGGAGATAACTAATTTAGGAACAAGGCATCTAGGAACTTCAATCAGTTTCAGTATTCATAAAGTCTAATAAATTTTATAATTGCTCTGAGAGTTTAGCAAAGTAAAGATTTATACATATTTTATACAGCTGAGCTTTTCCTTGCTATAATATGTTGTGACACATACAGAATTATGGATACTACATAATTTACATGCAGACCATAAAGTTGTAGTCAAGGCTTCAAGATAAACTTCTATTAAAGATTAAGAGAAACATGTAAAAATTTAAGCATTAAGCTAAAAACACACCTTTTGACTTAACTGAAACAAAGCCATAAGGCTCTCTCTTGCTAACTCTTCTATTCAATCATTTGTTCTTTATTGGACTCTGACTTTATTATTGGCAGATAATGAGATAAGAACAATGACCAATCAAATTAATTACTCATTCAAACTACTTCTACCATAAGAATAATTTTATTATATGATCCTGCAATGCTGCCTTATAGATCTTTAATACATCTTTCTTTTTCTATCAATGTTAAAAAACATCATTATTCATTTTGTTTTACTGAAGGAAAATTTCATGTAAAAGTAAACATCTGGGAGCTTTCTCCAAATTGATGTTGCCTACAGGATTATGGAGCTTGAAATCAACATTCATTCATTCGTTCATTCATTCATTTAAAGGATTTGTATTGCCACCTATCTTAAAACACAACCTCTGGCTGGTTCACAATATAGGGTGAAACATTTTTTAAAAAAGAAATTTGTTTGGAGTTTGGTGGAATATGATATGGAAGTAATAAAATAAAGCTACAGTCATCCTATGGTATTAAAGCCAACATTCAAGTCCAAGATATAATGAAATATGGAATATATTATAATATATATAATATATTATGGCTAAGGAAGAGGTGTAAAGCTTAAAATTAAATTCATATTGTGCTAAACAAAAAACTGCAGACTTGCAACATAGAAAGGGAGATAAAGTCAGTGACAGTATCTGACAGAGAAAATTATACTACTAAATTGCATCGTAAGAATAATATATCCCTTTATTAAGGAAATACAAAAGACTAGTAAGCTTTCAGATATGATTCTTAAAAATGAAAATGTTTAAAGTTAAATACCTTCATTACAAGGAAAGGTACTATCCAAACTGTGACAGATTGACATTTGTTATGGATTGCTGTTGATTAAACAATTCAAAAAATAGTATTTTCTCTTTTAATAAACACACTGGTTTTCAGCATTATAAAAAATTAAAGAACTTTAGTTGCAGAGAACTACTAAGAACTATTAAGAACTACTTTCTATTGCAAAGAAACATGTAGGTGAACTTTCAGATTTGTATCAATTGATCAAATAACTTGGCAATTAACAGCAAGAAAAATGCCAATTCCAGAATATAATTTACAATGTAATATTTACATAATTTAATAGTATTTATAATCCAGCTGGCTACTGAATTAAATCACAAACCTTTTTTAAAAACAAATATGTTTGATACTTATTCAGGAAACAATAAACTTGTGCTCAGAATAATACATCTAATTTGAAATATATTTTCTTATAAAAGGAAAAATATCTGAAGTTCTTGTGCACTGGACCAACCAGTTTTAAAACACTGAAGAGGTTTCTTGGGAAGTGACAATTCTAAATGCATCATGTACATGCATAACATTCACAAAAGCTCAGTAATCCCAAATTGCCACTTATATCCAAGGTAAACATGAATGCTACAAGCTGGCCTCTCTTCTAGCCATCAGTTAAGAAAGCAGG